GTGAATACACAGCAGAGATCCTAAAGCATATATAGCATTTCCGAAGATTAGATTATGTTTCAACCATACTACTGCATTGCAGCCATTTTTCCTATACCTGCAGTTCAAAGGCAGATTTTTCCTTGTAGTACGACAGCGGCGTAAAACTAAAAGTTTGAAATGGAATAATCAAATTTAAGGAGTAACAAACTGTTAAGTAGTTAGATTGAATACTAAGGAATACTCATCTTTCTTTGAAAAGGGATAAAAAAAAAACCACCTCTTTTAGAAGTTAAAAGGAGTTCACAATGATACTCTATCTTTTCTTGAACCCCTCAATTTCTTGAACCTTAGGCATCAAACTGACTTCACCAAGACGGTTACTGTTTTTTGTGGCAGGAACAGTTATTTTTGCACTAAAAAACCAACTATTCTACAGGACAAAGGCACCAAGGCAGCAGCCAGAATCACAACACACATGTGCTCAGAAAGCTACCTTGAAGGCCATCCTAGCAAATCCTAAGACCACAGACATTAATATAAAAGTAATAAAACCCCTTCGAAATAAACACATAAAGAAGGCAGCCCGGACTCCTACTTAATTAGGAGCTTCAATTGTCTCTATTCCCAGCGTTGAGCAACCAGAACCTCGAATTTCTTCCCTTATCAGAATTTTTGGTCATCTATGTATGTGGTCTTGGTCTTGGACTGTGCAAATATTGCTTATGGCAGATTTAACTAGTATCATTAATCCAACTCATCTATTATCCACCTAAGTTTGTTACCATGCACAGACAGTTTTTCAGTTTCCAGAACAAAAAGGTACTAATCTGGGAAATTGAATTGGTGCTAATTGCAACTTGTATACCAATTGCAATAAGAATTGAGAGCAAAGCCAGGAAATGAACGTCAATATAAAATAAAATTCAGTGATGATGGAGAAGAAACGAACCTTAAAACCAGGAGCGTAGTCTTTCTTTACAGGCCACAACCCGCCACAAACGAACCTGTCAGCAGCCGAGATTCTCCGCAAAACATCGTTCAACAACCCAATAGCACAGTCGGCCACATCCTCGCAGAAGGCAAGGCTACCGTTGGTGACTATGATTCACCAGCACCGGCACTCCGGCAGGTCAATGCGGTCAAGGCCTGAGCTTGTCGACACTATTAACTCCAAACGAGGCAGGAGATGTAGAAACTCGGCGGAAATTGGGGTACGACCCACGTTGATGACTACCCGGATAGACGCTGCGTGGCGGGAAAGGAAGGATTGGGTTTGCTCTAGCGAGTCAAAGGGGTGGTCAAGAAGGCGCTCTTCGAATGTAGGCTGCCTTGAAAGCTTGAACGTGGAGATACGATGCGCCAGAATTAGAGGCCGCTCTTCTTCTGAGATCGGCTGTTGGTTTTCCTGGTTAGCCACGGTGAATGCAGGGTAAAGAGTATTGGGATTGAGAATCTCTTGGTCAAAAAAATCTACTGGGTTTTTCATAAGATGGTGCAGTATTGTTCTTTTTCTTTTCAAGGTCAAAGCTTTATATTTGACCACGCCCGCAACGCATAAGCATAACCGAAACAGAGAAACAATCACCGTCACCACCGCCGGAGAACACCATCAGCAACAGAACACTGTAGCCATCAAGAAGAGCTATAAATGTTAAATGTCGCCAAAATCAATCATGCCAATACAATTTCTTTCACGGTTTCAGGCACCACGACGGGAATTAACAAAATAAGGGGGACAATCCTTTTTTTTTTTTTTTCTTTTACATTACACTAATTTTTGTTTCCGAATGCACCATTGAAACTGTGAATTAAGAATTATACAATACAAGAGAACAACTAATCGTTTGAAACAACTGACAAGGAAGGTTCACTTGAAAAGGCAGCCTTCAGATTGCTAATAATAAGGTTCTTTCACGAGCACATCAGTTCCTACAGCACCTATTTTTCCCTTGCACCAGGAACTGTACCAATTGGTTACACCATCAGTGAGAGCTCCAAGTCCTGCAATAAGAATCAACGCTTCCTTTCCTGATGCCATCGTGCGTCATAAAATTAGGAATAAATTAAATTAAATATTAATTGTGCAAAACAGTGCTGAAAAATGTGAGAATTGGAATCAGGGTTCATAAGCAGTTTGCTTTCTGGTGAAAACCCAAACGTTCGGCCTCTGAAGAATAGCATTTCCCGATGATGACACATATGGTAAGAGATTTGTAGCATAGCATTCTAACCTATTGTGATTTACATTACTTTTCAACCATACCATTTCCTCATTGTCATATTCTTCTGTGCAAATGAGAGACAGAACATGTTTCATGGGAGGGTACATATAAAACAAACATTCAGGAACAAGAAACTAGCATCATTGCTAGGTTGAATACTAACAATCTCATCTTTCATAAAAATGGAAGTAAAAATCCTGTTAGAAGTTAGAAACAGCTTGCAAAAGTGAAGAAAATAGGGCTGGAATCTACCCACATATCATTTCTTTCACCCCTCCATCTTGGTGAACCTAATGCATCTAAAGGTGCCTATATCTTAATTCCTAACTCACTTCACAAGAAAGATTTCCTTTCTTAAGCCAAGAAGTTGGCTTATCCACTGCATTTTTGTGCAAAACAAAATGTTAAATACGCTGTGACCACACAACATCACAACATAAGTATCTGGTAGACCACCTTCAAGGCCTTCTCAGGGATATCTGAAATACACAAGCAAGATGGAAATTGCATAGAGGAAGCAGCTGAGACTGCTACTTTGTTAGCCACATGCAAATTAGAGCTTTTAAAGCTCCTTTCCCACCTAGGCTAATCTAGAATCAGGATCTCCTGGACCTGGACTGACCTAGACTTCTCACTCACTAGAAATTTCATTTGTCACATCAAACATTGTGCAACTATTGCCTGTGACAGATTTAACTAGTTTCATATACACACCAAACTTGATAACTTTACACAAGACTGACTTTCGGTTTCCAAAACAAAATATCATTCTTGGAAACAAAATTCTTGTTTCTGTGCCAACTTGATATCAACTCTATACAAATTGCAATACCAATTCAAAGCAAAGCCAGGAACTGAACTTCAATATACAGAAAAATATATACAGAAAAATCTATAGCTGAAAGAGAAAGGCACGGTAGAAGTTAAAACCAAGTGGAAGTGGGTAAGCCCTTAACAGGGGAATCTGTTTGCTGCCGATGTTCTTCTTAGAACATCTCAACATTACGCTCTGCCATATCGTCGAAGAGGGCAAAGGCTAGCGTTAGTGATAGTGATGCCCCCGGTGCGGATACTTCTTCAAGTCAAGGTGATCAAGGCCTGCTGTGCTCTTCTCCACTATAAGTTCCAAACGTGGCAGAAGCGCGAGCAACTGGGCAGTAACAGGCCAACCGAGGCAGTGTTCACGCCAATAACACGCGGAGTCGCGGATGGACTGTGCGTGGCGGGACAGGAAGACTCTGTTGGTTCAGGCCAGTCAAAGGTTTCGAGCAAGCGAAAGTGAGTAGGCGACCTTAGTATGGAGGATCGGTTGGAAGTTGGAAGACAATGCAAGGACATAGGCCGCTCTCGTTGGAGAAACCTGTTGATTTTCTTGAGTAGCCATTTATGGACCATGGACGCAGGGGATTTGATGGCGAAAAAGATGAGGCGCTTAGCTTTTGGGACAATGATTAAGTCCATTGTGTACGTATCTATGAAATTCCATTTTGTTTAAGAATTTTATTCTTCACTGCAAAGGTCAAACTGCCAACCGTTAACATGGACCCAATGCCAGACACAAAAACCCAGATGAAGGGATCAAATAATCGGGAAAACCCTTCCGGAAACAGCCATCATCATCAACGGTAGCTGTTGTCCAGAATATCAATGTTTATTTCTTTAATGAAGGGAAGGCTTGACCGTCAGTCTTCTGCAATTAATATAATACTAATAACGATGATCATCTTAATTATAAAATATCAACAATGATTACTGATTGGTTCACCAAACTACCCTTCGTCCTTCCCCCAAAAACCCTAGGTAGACAATCTGAACACCCACCACTGCCACTCTTCATACACAAGAGAAGAAAAAGACAGAAAGATGGCATCTTTATTCATTTTCAGAAGCAACACCATCAGTTGTTAGTTCCACCTTCTCGGGACCGAGTCCAGAGAGATGATGAAATGTAGTAGCAACAGTGGAAATGAATTAATTGAACATGAGGTTGAGTGGATACCTACCATGCCGTAGTGATATCTTTGGTATACAGTAACAGCATTTCTTGAATGAGGAGCTGATTTACAGAACACAGATTGGTCTAACTCTCCCACTTGGTTCTGTCGGTGTCGGTTGATAATACTATACAATATTATATGCAATGCAACTTTCAAAGATCCTGCTGGATAAACATCATTGAGAATGGGCAGTAAATTAAGCATATAAAAGATTACTGTAAATTTCTTTAATTGACTTCTTTGATTTTGGAAGAGTTTTGTTGCATCTACATCAAATTGGCCTCTCCCCATGTAAATAGTAACTCCTCAAAAAAATGATGAGCTTGCAGCTATATATGCATGCTTGAATCAGATTAAACTGGGGGATTAAGTGCATAACAAAAATAAAATTAAATGATCACTAGCACACAAGAAAGAAGACATAGTATGTATGGCAGCCCAAATCCAACATTTATTCAACACCATCTACCTATATACAAGTTAATACAGAGAAAGAAGGTTGTGGGGTTATCAACCATTTCCAGAACCAATATTAATTAGATGACAGAAGCAACACTTAACGTGATCATCACCATGTGAATTTTTTTTTTCTAAGACACAAAAAACTTCCACAGGCATATTAATAATCAACTGCCATTTGCCACATCAAAATCGAAATCTACTCTCGGGGAGTGAAGAGTTAAGTCTTCCAATTTCTGTTGCAGCTCAGATGGATCAATGACTCTTCCATCACTCGCCTGGAAATGTGATCAGAAGCTTAAAGTTAGACAAGAGTGAAATTTTTACATTCTAGAACGAGATTGACACAAATTAATTACCTCAGACACAATAGTATGCAGCAACATTTGATCTACTTTAGTTGAAATGCAGTTAAAAATACTTAGTCCTTCTGCAATTAGAGCCTGAAGCACACTGGAAAGAGGAAGGCCTTGTCTCATGGCGGTGCTTATGACAACCTCCACCGATGCCCCCATACAAGGTCTAACAATCACTGTGTCCTCAGGACAACCTCGTAAACATTTTGGAGGAGCAAAACTAGTTGAACTGCAAGAATTGGACAATCTTTTAAGCTCATCCCTCTTTTCACTGAACTCCCCAATCCTGTTCTGCATATCCTTAATATATTTCACGGCCTGATTCATATGGTCAGACATCGATCGTTTCCCCTGAAAAAACCAGTTAAAGAACAAAAAACTTAATTAACTTGAACTATCGTACGAAAAGATTCCAAGAAATTAAGTTGAAAATTTAATATACATACCTTGAGATACTCAGGAGGAAGCAACGATCTTAGAGTCCCATACAGAGTGGTCATTTCCTGTCTTCTTTGTCTCTCGAGGTCTCTGTGAATGATCTTCTTCTTTTTATTGTCACCAGGGTTTTCATCCTTGTTGGTACCGGAAGCAGTTTCCGGAGCTTTACGCCGCCTGCCACCGCTGCCACCCCAATTGTTAGTTTTGTTGATCAGCAAATCAGTATCCTCAGACAGGACCTGGAGGAGTTCATCTGGTTGGAAGTTGGGAAAAGAAAAGGTTTCAAACAGGTCATCAGTGTTCTGGTCAAATGAGAACATTGATGAGACATAATCCATGATTATAAGCAGAAATTTGTTCTCCTCTTCCTCCTCCTTTTGCCTCCTAGTACCATATAAGAAGAGAAAACAAGGACAGGACACAGGGGGAGGGGCTGAGTATGCCTGGTAGATATTTATTTAAAAATCAAGATGGAAAGATTTTTGTAATCTTCAATGATATAAGAAATGACCTCATTTAGCACATATTTCATATTTGAGTTACTGTATTTTGGACGGCTAACTGAGAATTATATTATTATTATTATTATTATTTTGCCCAACCAACATTACATTCATATTTAGCAATTCCATATCCTATAAATTGTGAGGGAGATCTTAAAAGGATCCTTAATGTCGGAGTTATCAAGATAATTAATTAATTAATTACATGCAATGGAAAACAGACTCCTTTGCAGCTTTCTAATGACTAATAAGCATAAAATCTACTCACGTAAAGGCTATGGAATGACGTTAACGCCTGCCCAATATCCTTTTATTATGGTTTTGCCTTTTGTGTCTTTTAAACCATGGTAGCTAAATCAGTCAAGTCTTTAAGGAAAAATGGGTTGTGCGTTATCTCAAGCTATATCATCAGAAGAAACGTCCTCTAAAAGGACATTTCAATAATTCAAAATTTATGTTTTTATATTAAAAATTTCAAATTCAAATTTTAAGATAAATGAGTAAAGATTTAAAAAGAAAAAAATTATTTATTATATAATTTATCATCACATGTAAATTAAAATAAAAAAAAAAGTTTGAATTAATAGGATACTTATGAGTCAAGAGAATGTTGAACATATGAACCTTAGAGATAGGTTAACTTGGACTCCTAGTCTTGACAATTTCGAGTTACTGATGATTTGTTGTCATTAACAAATTTTCACATAATTATCACTTGATATTAAAATGACTAAATGAGCATATAAATATTGTTTTCACGTGTAAAGTAAACGGACATGATAAAAATTAATAATTTATTATAAACATTTAATGTTAACAAAACATTTAAAATTTAAATCTTAACTAATAAAAACAACTATTAATGTTGAATACAAACAAGATCTTATCTAGAATTTCAATTCTCTTTCCCATACATGACTTAGGAAAAGAATTATTGCATCTCCATGAGATGAATTTTTAAGAAAATTACAAATGACCTTGTTGGCCAATTAAGATAGAGCCTAGATGGTAGATGAGTGCATTTATTTGGATTTTGAAATTTGAAGGAGACAGTGGGAGGGAATTGGTAGAAATCATCAGAGAAAATATCTTTTCTCAAAGTAGAAAGTAAGTGATTAGACATTTATAATCTTATCCAAAGGCAATTAGACAAGGCAGAGGATAACACGGTCTAAGGTGTTAAAATGATTATTTAATAAAAAATTATATTAACAAGAGTTTAATTAATTTAA